ACAAATTATAATTATTTAATAAATTTCTATAGGAATTAATTAGTTTCAAACTTAGAATTAATTAGTGTTAAATCAGTAGTGATGAATTTGTTGATTTAATTTATTTAATTTCTATAATTCAAATTTGAAATTGCTAAAAATTTAATTGTAAACCTGTAAAAACTATACAAATTTTAAAATTGTAAAAATTTCAATTAAAAAATTGCGTAAATTTTGAAATTGCTAAAAAATTAGATTATTTTTTTTGAATTTTGCATAAAATTAGATATTTTGCCAATTCATTGAATATTGATATGTTTCAATACTATTTTATATAAGGAAAATTTTATCGCATTTTTATTTTTTTAATTGTTTAATCTTATACATTAACAAACTTTAAATTTTTCCTCAACAAATAATAAATTTTAAAATACCCATCATAATTAAATGATCTAATGAAAGGATGCAATTTTTGGTTAACTTAAGGAGAGAAAGAAATGATGATTACTGAAGAAAGTTTAGAAGATTAAAATTATCTTTTTGGAATAAGATTACAGTATTAAACTTAATCTGTACATCATTAAATTAACAATTTATATTTGTTAACAGAAAATTTAATTACATCTAAACTATGAAAGAAATATATATAAGTTTAATTAATTGAAGGGTTAGATCATTTTTATTGATATTTATTATTTAAAGATAATTAGTTAAATCTATTTTTTATTTAAGATAAAGATGCAAAATATTTATATAAAATACATTAATCTAAAATAGATATTTAATAAAGTAAAGACATATAAGAAATTATAGAAATTATATAAATTAAAGTTATTAGAAAAATTATAGAAATTAGAGAAATTATAGAAATTTAAAATTAGCAATCATTAGATTCACAATTTATCTATTAGTATATCCTAAATGGACTATCACTAATTTGTGAATCATTAGTAATTTGTAGATTATAAATAATAATTGGCATAGTAATTTTTATAGCATAATAAATTATTAATAGCGGTAATAATATAAGAAAGGTTCACAATAGTGTTTAATGGACTGCAGGTAAGAGAAAAATTTAAAGGAATAGTTAAGAATTATAAAGTAAGTAAAATACTAGTAAATGAAAGAATAATAATTTTTTAATAATTTTAATTCTTTAGTTATTCAAAATTATACTGATGATAAAGTTCCAAACAGTCTGAAAATTATTTAGTTTGGTTCAGTTTTTTTCAGTTCGAATTGTAAAAAAATCAATCTGAAAAATTTTGGATTAGTTCAGATTTTTTTCAGATTATAATATTCAATCCAAAATTTTCGAATTGATCTGAAATTTCAGTTAATAATAAATGCCTCCAAATTTTAGGGTATTTTTTATTAGGAAAATAACAGATAAAAGTCACATTTGAATTGTCAGAAGCAACTTTTAAAAATATAATAAAGTCAAATCTGAATTGTCAAAAGTGACTTTTATTAGAAAAATGATAATAAAGTCATTTTTAACAGTTTGGTTATAACTTTTATTATTATTTTTATGATATAATTAAAGGCACCTCCAATATTTCAGGCATGACTTTTTCTAATAAAATCGCATCTGAACTATCAGAGGCAGTTTTTATTATTACAATTGAACTGTCAAAGGTAACATTTATTAGAAAAATACTAATTAAAGTCATGTTCAAACTGTCAAAGCGATTATTATTAGTATTTAATAATCTGAAATTTCAGATTAATCAGAAAATTTTCAGTTTAGATCAGATTAATTAAAAGTTTTAGATCGGTTCAGTCCACATTAACATTTTATGGATTTATAATCTGAACTGAACTGAACTAAAATTCCAAATCGGATCAGATTAGCCTTTAATCTGAACTGAATCAGGATTTTTAGAGCTTTAACTAATAGGAATGACAAAAGAAAGTATATCTATATTAGTGACATATTTGGTGAATAATTCAAAATGACCTTTTTGAAAAAAACCTGGTTGGCATAATAAAACTTTCTAATTGATATTAATTAAAGAAAATCATTATTAAAATTCAATATTTATGTTTTTAGCATCATGTATATAAGAAAAAAAGCTAATATAATTGTTCAAAAGAGTTTAAAATGAGAAATTTATTTAGTTAATATTAATATTATTTTAACCATAATTTAAATTTAAATTTTTTAGAATCTTCTTCTACTAACTCCTCTCAATCACAAAATTATTCTACATCTAAAATCTAAAATAATTTTCAATAATCTATTTTTTACGTTCTTTTCTAACTATTATCACTCTTTTTTCAACTATTTTTATTCTTTTTTTTATATTTATAATTTTAACTAGTCTCTCTTTTTTCTTTAACTATTCTTTTATCTTTGTTTATCTCTTTTTATTTGGTTTTTTAATCAAATTTCATTAAAAAAAACTGAATGAAGCTTATCATCTCTATATAGTATTCAGATTTAATGATTATATGTTAATCTATATATGGCTAAGAGTAAGCATATTTTTGTAATTTTAATTTATTAGTTATTTATTTAAATTTATTTGTTTTATATTATTTCAAACTTATTATCATATAGGAGGTTTGCTAGGAAAATGTGACTCTGAAGTATTACTATATAATTAATAAATTGTTAAAATTCAGTAAAACATTACTGAATTTTCTTATTATAATGAATTATAATATCCAAAAATAAAGTTTCGTTATAGTAAGATTTTACTATAATTATTTTATTTCTTTATTATAATTGGCCAATACGTAAGAGGTGGAATATTTAAGAATCTCTTTTCCCAATAATTATATCATATGTGTCATTTTCCTTATTTAAAAAATAATAATAGTTCTGAATATTAATAAATAATTTTATAGTACTTGATTTATAATTAAGGTTAGATAATAAATAGAATTATAGTTTTATTAATTATACTAAAGAAATAGTTTAAATATTTATAATAGTAATTATGTATTTGCTATTATTAATAAATATTTGGAAATTAATACTAAACTGATAATTTTTTGGATCATACTTTTGGTAAACAAAAAAATTTAACAAAATAAGGTAGTATTATATTAAAAATCCTTTTGATTCATTTGAGATCAAGAAATTCTTTTATAGTAAAAGTTATGAATCTAATAATATAATTAGAGATGAAAAATTTATGGTTAATTATAATTTAATTAATTAACCAGTTAATTAACTATATTAAAATTGGTTAATGATTAATTAGGTTAATTATCAGTTAATTAATAGTTAATTAATGGATAATTAACCATTTTGGTTAATTAATACCATTAGTGATACCTGATGAATTACTTTTCTTAATATGACGAAATTGACGAAACTAGTTTTTTATTAATGACGAAATTATTTTACTTAATTGCCAAAATTATATTTAACTTGATCTAAATTCCTTGAATTAAAATACATTAAAAAATATAATAATTTATATTTATTCATATAAAAATATTAAAAAGATGAAACTTTTGACGAAATTAGAATTTTTCAAAAAAGAGTTTAGTCAGGTATCACTAATGCCCATATTTAAATATAATTGATTGATTTATTAAATTTTTAAGAAAATTATAAAGTTCAGTTATATAAAATGAAGTATCCATATTTAGCTATAACAGTTAAAGATTATCATGCAATTAAAGTAAATAATTATTATTTACACATAAATCTTTATTAATAAAAATTTATTTTATTTAAGTAATGAGTATTTTAGTAGAATGAATTTTTCTGATAAAGCTGATCTAGTTACAGCTAAAAGATATTGTTATAAAGCAAATACAATTTATGAATGTAAATATTTGATACATTAACCTAGCAATAAATTTACAAAAACAATATATACAATAAATAATTGCAAATATATTAAAAGATATTATAATAATTAAAAAATAAATTCATTTTTTAGCATTAATATTATTTGTAAAACTCAGATTATTCTGAGTTAAAGTCAGGTCAAGTCAGGTTCAGATTTTGTAAATGCTTACCTGAATATTTTTAACAATTCATTTGCACTTTTAGGTTGGATTCAGATTTTTCTGAAACCTGACCTTAGATACTAATTATTATATTTACAAAATATTATATTTATATAAAATAAAAAGATATTATACATTTAGTCCGATCTGAATCTAACAAATCTGAATCAAACGTTACTTAGGAATTTGGATATCTATGCAACAGAATAAGAAGAAATTCATTTATCAGCAAGTAAAGGATGAAATTACAACTTCCATAACTATAATAAAAGAAAAAGACTGACAGATAAACAACTATCATCAATCATCAATACTGTAATTATTCCTAGAATTCTCTACAATATACAATCTAAATACAAATTTGACAGATCAAATTTTTAAACGTTTATATTGTTTTTTTAAACAATAATTGTACCTCTGACATTCAGAACAGCATTTTACTGTTTAAAAAATAATTTTGATAGATAAAATAATATTTTAACATATATACAATTCAAAAATTTTTATGGTCATAAATGTAATTTCCCTATTTATGGCGTTTTAGAATATACTTCAAGAATTCTAGGTCTAAATCCAGATTTAAAATCAGACCACCCGTATAAAAATGTACAAATAAAATCCTGTGCATCAGTTGAAAAGTTTAACTTCAAAAGATGGTCAAAAGTATTTTTTTTTAGTTACAAGAAAAAAATGGTGTTGTGAATCCAATCTGAATCAATGATTTTTCTTAAATGTCGTCAATACTCTCGTACATATGTGGTTCAATTCTTTTGGTACACCGTAATAAAAAAAAATTGAAAATTTGTTTTAAATTTAATTCGTCAATATTTCAAATATTTCAAATGAATTATCCATTCACTTCTATACACTGGATGATAAAAAAAAAAGGGATTTCGCCAAACTTGTTATTTTTTTTCTTATTATTACATATTAAAAAATAAAACGGTAAAAATTATAAATTAAGATTTCTTTCAAATTTGAATATTATTTCGGTTTGTCTTGCAAATCCGGAATTTTTTTTATTTTTATTTCTAGTAAATTATGTAATATTAATTTTCTTCATTATCAAACGTAGGAGTGTGATATTTTTCAACAAGGGTTAACCTTTTTTTACCACGTCTAAATTTTTTAGAATCAATGGTCGCATCAACGATATCAGTTTTACTAATACGAAACACCTCATATTCATCTACACTAAATCTAATTAAAGAAGAAGTATTATTATTAATATTAAAATCACTTCCCAAACCAAATGAATTTCTTGTTGTAGAAAATGAAGCTCTAGAATCAAATGAAGTCAAATTCCTAGATTTTTTACTAGAAGATACATTTCCCATCATACTTTTTAAGATAGCATCACAAATTCCTTGTCTATAAGAATTTGTTTCAGAAGAACATAATTCATCCTCACATAAATTCTCTACACACCATAAATCACCATCTCCAAAACAAGGTCCATTTTTAGAAGAATTCCAAATGGCCTTCTCGGGTTTTAAGACACGCGACCATAGTGGTTGCGATTTATTCCCATAACCCAAAGAAAAAATAAAACTATCACTGGTCAATGTCCATCCAGTTTGAGATTTCCATGATGTTGGATTATACCCCCCTATAATATGATCGGTACCATTTATTTTCATTAGAACCAATGTTGGACCTTTATTATCACATTTTGTATGAAATTTTTCCGCAGAAAATCCATCAATACTCCCTCGAAGTAATAATCCAAAGTAATAATTATTAGAATTACGTTTTTGGCCTCCATCAATCCAATTTGCGATCATTGAAATTTGATCTTGCGTTATAAGTGATGACCTAATTGCATTATTTGATAGATACGTGAGTGATTCTTTTTGTATTCCCGTGTAATAAAAACATTCTAAATCTTCGTATAATGATTGAGAAAAACAAGATTTAAATGGTCTAACCCTTTGATAAAATTCTTTTGAATCGATTTCACAAAATCTGACAAATTGTATCCATTGTCGAAGCGTTTCTTCAAATTCACCAAATTCATTGGTCGTCCATTTTGTTAAGTCATTACTAGCATTTGGATGCTTTGACATGCACCATTGAATTATATGATCCCATATTTGTATTTCTTTCATTTGAAAATTACGTTGTTCTAGCACTATTGCCAACGTATCTTGATCTATTGTGGTAAAATCTTCCGCCTTTAATAAAACATCTGGTTCCGAATAAAGAATATTATGACAAAAATCTTGTAATTCTTTTGAAGCCTCCAATTTAACTGCTGTACTATAAACTAATGCGAAACTTTCCCGTAACCATAATTTGTGTTTTACAAGTAAATGACTTTGCATAAGATCATGTAATTCATTCATCAACAGTTCATCCGCTGCTACCAATATTTCCAAACATTGTTTTCCCGATTTCTCTAATAGTGCCATCGTGCCAGTATATATATACCTAAAAGAAAATAACCAAAAGTTAGGAAAAAGAAAATATGTGTGCGTATATGCTATTTATGAACGTTAAAAAAATTCATTGTTTAAACCTACTCCAAAATATCACTAAATACCGATGCTGAAAAATTCGGTTTATTAAAAACAATGGAATCTCCTTCTTTCTTTACCCATTGACATGATAATGCCGTATTAAAATAAGGTGACCTAATCCGTAATATTCCCGAATGCGCCTTAAATGTTTTAATATTTGGTTCTTTACCAACGTATATGATTACATCATGATTATAAGCTTCTTTTAATAATTTACTAAAATCTCTTGAGAGCGCGCTAAAATGTTCAAATGACATTGTAAGAAAATTTTTGACCTCCAAAGAAGAGCAATTTATGTGTGAATTTTCAAAACAGCATTTATATATTGAACTAAATTTGTCCATCACTTCCATTGGGAGTTAAGGTATTCGAACAAAATGTGACGTAATACATTACTTTTTGGGGATCTGCGTTACGTTAATGATGGCGCAGCAGATTTTCATTCCTAAAAAAAAAGACTTGTCTAGTTCATACAGGAATACTCGTCTATAATTCTAAGTAAAATTCCTATTAAGTCAATTTAATTTTATTTTTAGAACTCTTATCAAAATAGTTGGAATTTTAATAAACTTACAAAAAGAAAAGTCGTATATATATCTTTTTTTTTCAGTGGTTTTGTTCGATACGTCAATCTCGACACGTCAGAGATTAATTTTTTAACGATGCTCCTGTGTGTTTTTTAATGAAAATAATTAACAAATATTTTCATTCTAAAATCAAAAAATAATTGGTAGCTTCTCATTTCTAGATAGACAAATTAAAATAAGGCCAGAACGGTTCAGAATCCAGACCAACCATTCTCATCTTTTCTGTTCGATGATTCGATATACATGCTATCCTTTTAAATAAGGAGGATGGATGTTGATGAATTAAATAAAGATGGGTGAAAATGATAGGTGGAAGCGATGGAGCACCATTGGTGATGCACCAGTGTTAATTATTCTATAGTTACAGTATAATCCACGTTAAAAGAATAAAAAAAAAATATTAATAATTATAACTTGAACAATAACATCTAAAAGTGGAATACATGAATAAAGGTTATTTTTGACGCTCTTTTATCTATAACGCTTTCTATCAAACCTTTGACGTGAAAAATATTCTGGATATTACTTTCAATGCTTAATATAAGTGAAAACAGGATACAACTCATCTTATGAGTTTTCTCCATTTGCAAGGATTGGACTATCTTGAGGCGTAATAAAATCGTAAATTTGATTTGCAACAATTTTTGTATTACTCATGAAATGCCCTTCCCTTCCACTAATATCTTTTTATAAAGTTTCCGAATAAAATAAATCAATAGCTTCAATACAAAAATAAGAGAATTATGTTCGGATTTAATGGACATCTTGTTCATTTTTCGGTTAATTAAATATTATAAATTATAAATATTATTAACGTATAGAATCTTTAAGGTTCGGTTTGATTTACGTCGCAAAACATTTTCAAGTTAAAAGTAAATATGCAATATCAAAAATAAAAGTTATTTTCCGAATTTCTTTTCTTTGTATATTTTATTATGTAAAATTTTAACAAAAAGATATAAATAAAATTAATGGAGAAATAACAAATGATTCGTCGATTGAACTATTAGTTTCATTACGTTGTAATACATATTATGCTTTGATTTATTACAACTTAGTTTTCGATATTAATTGGGTTAAAATGAAGACTAATATCCATCGGTACTACGATGGATTTTTTTTTATCCCTTCGAATAGATTTATAAAAAATTAAACGCACATATTTTTTTTACTTCAAAAATGCATGATCTAAATAAATATCTTTTTGAAAATAAAACGTAAAAAATTCTTTTTGATTACTCAATCATTGAAGAATGCCAATACGTGTTCTTTGCGCAGCTTCTCGTAATCCTTGAGTTGAACTTGTTCATTTTTAAAGGGCAATTTTGATCGCAAATCAATTCCCGATTTATTTATTTTTCGTGTTCCTTCCGCACCATTTAGTTTGTCTCTTAGTTCTTTGTCACACTTGAGAGTTGTTGAAGTCTATCATTAAATAATGTAAAAAGGAAAAAAGTGAATGCCAAAGAGAAAGATAAAGCTTTTTAAAAAATATTATTCAAAGAGAAATTTATTCTCTCGTGAAAATTAATGTAAATCCTTCTTGATTAAAAAATGTTCATTTATTAAAGATTCTCAGGTAGTTGATGAGCTTTAACATTAGCATTTTAATTAACTATAATCGTTCTTGAATTACTCGAGAACTTTTTTTTTTATAAAAGTTATTTATTAATTAAATGATATTATTAATCTGGAACAAAATTCGAAATGTATGTTTATTTTTAAAAGAAAAATATATATATATATAATGGATTCCTTTCTAAATTAGATAAAGGGAGAATATCTTTGACCGATAATGTTTTAAATAAATTGTATATAAAAACATTTATATTTTTGTATGAAGAAATTTATTAAGAAAAAAAAATTATATCAAAAAATCAAAATCTAAATAAACCTTTGAATTATAGTAATTACAATTTGATACCAAAAAACACCATAACACAATTAATAGAATACAAGAACCGCATTCCTCAAAGAAAGAAATGATTAATCATCCTTCTTAGCCTTCTTAGCCTCCACTTCCTCTGCAGTTTCTAAGATTTCTTTGACTACTCCGTCATCAACCTCCTCTGACTGTGGATTGTAGGGTTCGAGATCATTGGCTGTTGTACTTTCAGATTTTACAGCGACGACATCGGCTACTAATACTTCTTCCTTTTTAAGATCAGCAGGATCTTGAGGTAATTAAAAAGAAAAAAGACAAAGGGTTAGTTTGAATTGAAGATAAAAATCATCGTTGTCATGAAATTGATAATTAATCGTGTACTTACTAGGAGGTTTAGCAGCGGGTGCAGCATTTACAATAAAGCAAACCAAAGCCAAAAAAACGGCCATCAATGTAAGAAATCTAGATCCCAACATGATTTTTAATTTCGATTTAATTTTTTAAATATGTAGAAGGAATGAAAAGAATGTGGCTTTTTTGTTTAATCCTGTAAACAAAATTTAGATGTTTTAATTTAAAACTTTTTTTTAATGAATTGGAGGAAATGAAAAAAAAAAAAACAAAAGGATGCAAAAAATTGAAATGTATTTATAATAAATTTTTAGTCCACATATACGCGCGGACGGGTTGATGCCTTAATTGGATAAAATAACTTCCATCATTAAAATATATGGGTGGTCAACATTTTAGAATTTATCATTATAGTAATGCACAAGACCGTAATTATGTGAAATATAAACAAACAATCCCGTACGACATTAAAATTTCCCTGTTTGATACAACAGTAAATCCTATCAGAAAATTATTTCAATGAGATTTTATTGGTGGATGGTCGACTTGTGTACCTTTGAATGGTTTCGAAATTTATTACCTGGTAAATTAAAATGTCTTTTTCATAATTAAAAGTAACCACATTGAAACATTTTGTTAATTTAAATCTGAGACAAGTTTTTGAAGATTTAATGAAACACAAACTGTTCATAAGGAAGGAGATGAAATTTCTTGCATTATTTTATTTTTTAATTTATCGGAAATCCCTTTAATGGGAAAAACGTTTCAATATTTATGGTTAGTGAATGTCGGATGACACAAGAATGGATAGTATGGAATTTCCAGGGGGTCATGTGCCGGTCCTAAATTTTGGTAATAATTTTTAAATTGAACAGAAACATTAGTTTTAATTACATACACACCAATTAAGCATACATAATTATTATCTATTTCGTGACCAGTAAGGATTTTGATGATAAACATTAAATATCCAATCTTTACCGATTAACCTAAAATAAACTTGTTGATCTCCATATGATTTACCAAATCATTTATAGTACAATGAAAAAAATTAATTAGATGCATTAATTAGAACCAAAAAACAGTATGTAGATCGTGAATATACTCGGTATTTGTACCCTTAGCGTTAGTGATATTTTTGTCTAAACCCGCCATGTTTGATATAAATTTAGCCATTCCATTCTTAGTTCCATCTTTAGGTTCAACGACTTTTTACGGATGAAACGTCATTAAATTAACCCGAGTAATTTGAGTAATTAATGTCCTTTTTTTTAAATAAATATATCTATATATAGTTTGTGTCATTATTAATAAATATTTTGGTTGAATATTTATTGATTGGTACGAGAAAAATGTTAAAAGAAAATTATCGTCATTGATCTTAATTCCATTAAATAATTTTGAATTAATTTGACCATTACCTCTTTTGTTCTGCAGGTATTAATTTTGACAGAATGTTTATGAATGTTACACGAATTATTTAAATTTAATTAAGATACTATATTTTGAAACAGCATGGTTTGACGAAAAGCCATTATTTATTATTTATCACTTAATTTAGATCCTTCTCGTTATTAGGATTGATTTTTAGATATCTCCGGAAAATTTTAATCAAGTTTAAGTTTTCATTCATAATATCGGATTAATTAGCTCAAAAATAAAAATATAATTCATACCGTTGCACTTATTATGTCCTGAAATGAGAAGGGGCGCGTGTTATTATTATTGTTTATTGGTGTACTAATTAATAAAAAAAAAATTCAATTTAAAATTTACTTACTTATTGGTTGTTTTTATTTATATTGAAAAAAGAGAAATATGAAGCATTCTAATTTAAAAAAAATAAATAAATAAAAACAAAAAGAATCTTTGTAAGATAAAATTTATGCTTGATTTTTTTATTATTATTGCTTTTTCAAATTCATACACTCGTAGATATTACTCAAATTTTTTAGTAGGTGACTGATGTTTTTCTCCGATTAAATCTTATGCTGATTTCTAGACGAGGCAATTAAATCCCTAAAGAAGTGAATAAACCATGAAACAAGACCATTCTATATTCTGTCTTTCGTTAAACCGCAAAAAAAAAAAATAAAAATAAAAAGTTCAATTGAAACAAAATTAAAAAGCAACGATTTTTTGATTTTATGAATGGTTAACTGCTTGTACTTGTCTCTAGAGACTAAAGGATCATTTTCATTTGATTTTTACGTGCTGTATTTGTGTTTCGCCCTGTTTCAAATTACATTTGTGAGACGTAAATTAAGATCAAAAAAAAAAAAAAATCAGATACTCAACTCACATATTTATCTCGGAAAATAATTGATTAATAAGTTATTATTTTTTTTTTTTAAAAAAAAAAAAAAAATTGAATCGAAACAATAATAAAAAATCACTTTTTGTTAAAATAAAATGAAATAATTTTTAATATTTCGTTATCATGACTCTTTTACATGAATAAAATCAAAAGACCCTTTTATGATGAAATAAATCACATCTTCATAGAATTATAATTTTTTATTTACGTCTGCAAATGCAATATATAAATCATACGCGTCCAATAACACTTTTTCTTCTTCTTGGAATATCGTCACTATAATCATATTCTGGTGGAATTTCAACATACCTCACTTTATAAAATGATAAGAAATGATATAATTTTTTTTTTTTCAAGAGAGTGGAAAAGAAAATAGATAAATAATACTTACAATAAAATCCAAAATTATTGCCAAAATTCTTGTAACAGATCAAAAGGATTACGAAATGTGAAATAGTAAGTAACAGACAAAAGATACCAATTATGAATATGGCCGTATATATTTAATTCTTTTTACAAACTTGCATCTACCAAATTCATTTGAATTATAAATATCGTCAGGGCACCATACGATTAACCTATATACGATACAACCAATTTCCAAGATATTGAATAGTAATATAATATTCATCATCCATCTTAATTCATCTCTTATCTATTTAAAAAATTAAAATGCGCAACGATTTAGGATAAGATTTTGATCACAAATGGTCCCGTTAGAATCGATGTACTTACAGCTCTAATTACGAATGCAAGAGAAATCAAATATAATATTTGATCGGGAATATATACGGGCCAGACCGAATATTTTTTTTCTATTCCAAACGTTTTTGCATTATAATTAAACCAGCTTACTTCTTTTAACCACGTGAAATAAGCCCAACCTCCAACAGTGATGTAACTTGCATGCAGTAAAACCATTTGATATTGATAAACTTTATACATTTCTAAAAAAAAAAAAAAAAAAAAAAAAAAAAAAATTAATAAAATTTGACACCTTTAAATTTTTGGTATGCTTACCATTAATATTTTGCCTCTTTGTAATTTTTCATGTCTCTCGTCGTAATTCAAATTCTAACCCCAAAAAGGTAAGATTTCTAATTAAAAAAAAGTTTCCAAATATTCAATTAAAAGTTCTTACTTGTAATGCCAAAGCAAACTAATTAAAACACAATAAATTATAACAAATGTGGCGTGAAGAATCGATCCAAGCAAAAAAACGTTATGTATTCCACGAACAAAATGTGAATTCTCATGAAAACACATATTTGCAAGAAGAATAAATGGTATAAATAATCATATATTCATCAATATGTGTATGATTCCATGCAAGACTGATCTTCCCCATATCTTTAATTTTTTTTTTTAAAAAAAAAGAGTAATTTTTATTAAAACCAAAAAAAGACCTTGCAAAAAAAAAACAACATGGTTTTGCACTTACAATAATAATCGAAGAACAAATTGGAATAAATACAGATAACGGAATTATAATATAAATAGCTATTGAATCATCAAATCTTAGCATAATTATCATATTTACGACGGTGACGATGAGATATAAAATTAAATGAATGATACATGCTATTATGAGGATTTTTTCAAGCTTGGTATATCGAGGAAAAAAGGAAATAGATGAAAAATTTTTATACATTTGAGAAAACAATTCCTTTGGGTTCGGTATTTATATTTTTGTGGAAATACCGGTTATTTTAACCAAGCCAGATGAAATCATTCCATTTTAGGCCCAAGCCATAGGCTTGAATAAAAAAAAAAAAAAAGGATCCGCGGCAAGTTTTTTTTTCCTATTGACTGCGGATTCGCAAAAAATGTCTTATTTGTTCAAAATAAAAATAAAATAAAAAAAATCAATTCGCGAATGTTTATTCATCCATGCAAGAGATTTATTTGTACACGTAAAGAACCGTAAAATCGTCGGAACAAAACGTCTTTCCTACAGTGTAAATGTTTTTTTTAATTTTTCTTCAAATTCTTAGCAAAATAACATTCTAGTGCTGCATTCGTTTATTTTTAAAGAATATGGTGTGATATTGAACTTTATTCGATTACCAACCGATGAAATGCGTGTTGATAGTCTACAATTCGATGATTTGACGCAAAGTACAGTAAATCATTCTTATTACATGAATTTGGATTGTAAATATTTCCTCGATTGGCCACAACGATTAGAAAGTACGTTATCGGTGGATTTAATTAATGCATGAATATACAGCGCATCCCGGGAAAGCATTACAAAAAAAAAAATTTCAGCATACAAAAATGGTTATAAATAGTTCGTTAGAAATCGTTTCTTTCAATCATTCCAAATACAAAATAATCACTTCTCACACTTTCCTTTCTCTTTAACCTTTACCTTCTTACTTTATTCCTTACTCGAACAAAAAATACCTCCCTCCAATATTAAATACAAATCCCTCGAAGATGGTAAATTTCATAAAAAAGTCCTTGGCTTGTTTAGTCGCAGTATTATTGCTCAATGGTGTATCTGATGTATCAGCCGCTCCGTCAAAGGGAAAGAATGTTTGTCGATCCTTTACGGACAATTTTGATACTAATCGAATTGTAGAATTTAACAAATATAATAAGAATCCTTCTTCCGCAAATTGGATCAATCTTGCTGGAAGTCGAAATACTTATGAAGTAAAGAATGGTCAACTTTTTGCAAGCCTTCTTAAACCAGCAAATATGAATCGTCAAAAAGGTCCTGACGGATCATTTAATGAAAATTTGGGTGCTGGAGTTAGTCTAAATTCTACTCGTAAAATGCATTTCGGAAAAATTACTGCAAGAATGAAGATTAATGGAGTTGGTGGTTGCGTTACCGCTTTCATTGTAAGTTATATTACTTATTTTTCAACTTTTTATTATATATAAAATTAAAAAAAAAAATTTTTTCTTTCTCCGATAGACGATGTCAGATAATGGGGATGAAATCGATTGGGAAATGGTTGGAAAAGACACTAAGCACGTTCAATCAAATTATTACTTTGATGGAATTATCGAATATGGGGTCCATGGAGGAATTCATCCCGTTTCTCCAGCTTTCACAGATGCTTTTCATACTTATACAATTGACTGGCAACCAGAATTCATCAAGTGGTCAATTGATGGTAAAGTTGTTCGAACGTTGAAAAAATCTGATACATTCAAAGATGGTCGATTCCAATTTCCAAATAGCCCAAGTCATGTACAATTCGGTATTTGGGATGGTAGTGGTGCATCTGGTACTGCCCAATGGGCTAACGGTCCGATTGACTGGAACAAACATAAGAAATTAACTACCATCGTTGATTTTATCAAGATTGAATGTAACCGTGAGCATAACACGATTATCAATTAAACCATACATTCTTTTGTAATATTAGATTTCGCATAGATATATAGAAATAAATTTAGAAAAAACTTTTTTTTTAATTTTTTTTTTTTTTTTTAATCTGTATTGTATGTACAGTACTGTATATCCAACAATATAAAATACAAAAATTAAAATTACAACATCGTATATGTAAATCTTCTATAGTCTTCTATAGTATTAAATTAAAACTTTGCTATTTTTACAATTGTTCATAAAATTATCGATTAATATTATTAATCTATTTGTGATAATTCGACAATAATTAAATTAATTAATATAAGATGACCAAATATTGTATTTAATCTTTCTATATTTAACCAAAAAAAAAGATTAATCATATTGATCATACTTTATGTTTCAAACAATAACAATTATACCTGAATCATCTTGGGTTTATTATTTCTTCCTTCAATATCATTAACTGTGATCTCTAAGAATCTTCAAATGTGCTGCTTGCTCGTAAGTGTTTTCTGGTAGTTAGATGTTTCTTCAAGTGAATTTTTTGTTTAAATTTTTGATCACAGAATTTACAATCATAGGGCCTTTTGTCGGTATGTTTTTTTTCGTGTTCGTTCAAGTGAATTTTTTGCGCAAACTTTTTTTCACACAATTTACATTCATAAGGTTTTATGCCTTCATGATTTTTTCGATGTACAATTAAATTATTTTTTTGAGAAAATCCTCGGTCGCATCCGGGATAATCACAAATATGTGGTTTTTCACCTGTGTGTTTTCTTTCATGAATTTTTAATTGATGATTATCCCGAAAATTTTTCGAACATCCAGAATGTTGACAAAGAAATTTGTTTCTTTTAAAAGTAGAAAGCTTTATCTGCAATAAAGTATATTATAGTGGTAATTTTTTTAAAAAAAAAACAGCGATAAATTTTTTTGTGCTAACCTCTGTATTAGCGTTACTAGATGATTTATCATGCTTCAAATTATCATGAATTGATTCAGACTTATCACTGATCTGGCCACATTCGACTTTCCTTTGAGTCACATCTTGTCGAGGCTCTAAATTAATTATTATAATTATTGTGATTGTTGTGATTGTTGTTAAAAAAAAAAAACAGAGAGAGAAATTAATATCTTTTATAATAATAGAGTACTTAAATTGTTAACTGAGCATAAATCGAACCTAGAAATCCATCAGTTGGATACCGAGTCAACTTCTCGTCTGTATCATGACCATCGGTATCGAATTCTATTATGATATTAGAGAGAGAGAAAAAGAAAAAATTAATGGATTTTATAGTGATTGAATATAAGGTGCAAAATCAAAACTTATTATGTTGAAGTGTGATATAATACGGAGTTACGTCGCCATTAATTCATGTAAATAAATTATTATAAGATGATATCTTTTATAATTTAAATATCTGAACCAAAGCGTTGACGAAATATACTACAGCGCCATTAATTTGACTAGATTATTGATCAAGCCAAAATTTGAAATAGACGTTGATTAAGTATTAAAATAAAAAACCTGAATCTGCGTTATAAACAAAAAAAAATAATTTATTATATCAATTATAATAATTTAAACATTTGAACTCGAATGTTAATTTAATATAAAACTAACCTAGGTATCCATCAAAAATCATTTCCCAGCTGATATCAGACGCAGGTAGTTTCTCCATTAACCCTATTGAACGTGAGGAATATAGCGTGTTTGTGTTTACAGTTAAGTGAAAACTTTCAACGAAAGAAATTTCACATTAATTTGCGTCAGCTTACGATGAAATCGAAAATTGAGTCTTGTGACCAAAACGTAGATTATATATCCATTTCTTTCCCAATTTTCTTCACATTTTTTCTTCTCGTTACACAAAAAAGTATCATTTCTAAAAAGAATGTAAGATATATATCATTATAGAGGTAAAAAAAATAATTATTAAGAAGCTACGAACAGCTATGTAAAAACATCTGTTCAAGTCGAAAAAAACAAAAAATAAAGGGTTCGATAATGGGAAAAAAATATATATTTACAGGTATATATACATGAAATTTGTGTGATACGGATTGGATTCAGTTTAAAATCGGATAGACAATGCATTTCTAATTTGTGACATGTAACCAGAGTTGTTGATTGATATATGCTATTATTGTCTAATTATAATGTCGATCAGTAAGATTTTTAGGTTAGACTAAGCTTCGATGCTTTATGTCGATCATGAAATGTAAATTTTGTATGTTGTAATACATAAACATAGTAATTTTTTTTTATACAAGATGAAGTTTATCGAACGATATTATCATTGAACTTACAAAATTGCATGACTCTAACCTTATTAATCGTGATCTTTATACTGGTAATATTCTAATAAAGAGATTTCGTAATAATTATAATGGTTTGAAGTTATATCAGTATTCCATTTCTCAAATTACTTCTAAAAATGAAATGATAGTGTTGATGGTATTCTACTTTTCATGCCCCGAAGTTTTGGAAGGTAAACATTATACTACGGCTAGCGATGTATATAGATTATGTTGGATTTTGTTACAAGAATTCCACAATTTAACAGCTTATTTTACGTCCTGGGATCATCCAAAATACTATGGGACACTGATCCTTCTGAAAAACCAACTGCAACAGATGATTCTAAGATTATTCAGAGTTGGATTTATTATATTTTGAAGTATTATAAAGCAGATAATTCATTGGATATTAAACGAGATGTTGATTGTAAATTAATTCATGAAAATATTGATGAAATAATTGATAGATTGATGATATCCAATTCAGAAATGATACTGTAGAATTTTGGAAAGCGGATAAAGCATTAGCAATATTACAAGTTGGGTGATACGGATATTCTTATTTATCATAACGTTGAAAACTCAGAACTATTGCTATGTATTGAGAATATATATCATTTTTATTTTATTTGTAAAGAGTAATATAATAATATAGCCTTTTTGATCGACAAAAAAAAATTATGGTTTATTTTTTCTCTTAAAGTTAATAGTTCAAAAGTTGAGAAGATGTTACATTTATATTTATAGCCAAATAACAATTTTAAATTAAATTAATTAGATATTAATGTATTTTATTTTCAACTTTATGGAATTGACAGGTTTTCAGATATTTGGATTTTAAATCATATTTTTATTTTTATTTTCTTTTTATTTAACATTATTAATAATGATGGTGTAGATTCATTCATTGTTGTACATTTTTTATGTCCAAAGCATTTTAAGAATGTCCAACATTATGTTCAATACTGTCCAACCCTATGTCCAAAATATTGTCCAAGAATGTCCCGTGACAACACTGGTAGATATAAATGTTAGATAATAATTATTTTGTTGGACAATTCAAGAAATTGATCCATTTGAATTTGTAGGATTATATGGTTCGGTTGATAAGATTCTCGTAAGTATTCGATTTTGTATAAATAAACAACTTGTAAACAGTGAAACAGTGAGATATTACTTAAATATTCGAATTTTAACTGATAACCACTTAACTTCGTGTCACTAAGAGAAGTAAAACTTGGGTCACGGCGAACTCATTGCGGCGAAAATTATATCTGTGAAGTTTGATAACAAAAGTGCATAAAGATACTAAAAAACATAAGGGATTCCAAACAGTTCAATTAAAGATTTCCGCACCTCCTCCCTAGATGATAATACTGATACGATATCTATTATTTTATATATTTTCATAAAGATTTTTTTTTATTAAAAAAATTTTTTATAATTCTCATTCAATTATTTTAATTTTACTTTTACTTTTAATATTCATTCTAATACAATTTCCTATTGATAGTTCTATCGTGATAAAGTTCTTAAACTAATAGCTAAAAGTTTTACATGATACTATGATATAATATAATCTACCCTATGAAAAAAGTTGTACAGTTCGTACTGATTTCGTATAGGTGTATACTGAAATCATACAGTTTTTATGTAGTTATTTCAATTTTCCATACAAAAATAATTATACAGAAATTTTAACATAGAAAAATCGTACAGAAAAAAAATTGAAATTTGAAATATATAAAAATTGTGCTAAATTTGTATTGAAAAATTAAAACATACAGATTTATAGTATTACTAAGTATTGGTTCCAAAATAATGTGACTATAATAACATTGTGATTATAGAAGGGTTTTTTTATATAGTGTTAATAGGAACTGGTTTT